ACGTCACCATGACATCAGCGCCCGATTTACGTGCAAATTTATTTTTAAACCGATTTTTCTCTTAAATTACTTATCCAAATCATGATCCGATTACACCATTAAATTCATTGCAATTAAATCTTCAAAACAAGACCACACATGGATATATTCCGATGAAAAAAATTTAGCTTATTATTGAATTATTTTTAAATGTTGCACGATGTTCCACCAAGTATATCGGAATTGTTTCACTAAGTACATCGAAAATGTTTCGCTCGTTTAAATCTGGTGTTGTTTCACCTTATATAGAAATAATGTTTCAGCAAATAGCGAAAGAATATTTCAGTTCACTGCAACATTAGATCAATACATAGTCAAACATTATAAGTGCACTAGGTGAAACATTTTTCGGTGAAACAAAAAATGAAACGAATTCCCTTAATAGGAGGTTTCCAAAATATGTGGGTTTTTTGTTGCAACGAAATAGTTTAGTTCACTGCAACATTAGATCTATACATAGTGGAACATTATGAGTACACTAGGTGAAACATTTTTTGTGGAACAAAAAAATAAACCAAATTCCCTTAATAGATGATTTCCAAAATATGTTGGTGATTTATTGCAACGGCGTGTTCCACTGCAACATTTGATCCGTACACAGTGAAACATCATGAGTACACTAGCTGAAACATTGTAAAACTATTGGTTGAAACATCAAAAGAGACCACATGCAACATTAAAAAAATTAAATATTTTTTTATCGAAATATAATCATGTGTGGTCTTGTTGTAAAGATTTAATTGTAACGAATTTAGTGGTACAATCAGATCGTAGATTAGATAAATAGTTTAGGATAAATTTTTTTAAAAGAAATAAGAAAAGAAAAGATTCTTTACATGCTACAGTGGCAGGAAAAAAAAGCGTCTGATTTTTCTCCACCCCGCCAGTCGTTCGGTGTGAGCATTTTCGTATTTGTGGAGGATTTGCTGGATCATTTGTTGAAAAGAACATCCCTAATCACTCCCAAATTAAGCGACGACCGTGTCTCACCATGCTAATTATGAAAACGCTGAAAGTGACAGGCAATCGCAATTTAAGCGACAGATTGTAGAGTTTAGATGCGTGCTAGCTATGGATTCATAACGAAAGAGTTGACATTATAGACCTGCCATTTAGGCCATCCATAATGGGTACGTCTGGGTCGTCTTCCCGCTCACGCCGTCCGCCGTCCGTCCGCTGTGCGTGTCCCTGGAGAGAGGCGCAACCCCCACGTGGGGAACGCGCGCCTCTAGCTTCTCAGCTCCCTTTTTCCGGAGACACTCCCCCGAGGCTACGCATTGCAACGACCCAGTACCCCGTCCCCTGTCTCCTCCCCCGGTGTTTCCCCTTTTTGCCCTCACCGGCAGCATGGCGACGAGAGAGAGAGAAAGGAGAGAGAGGCGACGGCGACGAGGATCCGCGACGGCGACGACCAGATCCGGCCACCGCCGCGGTAGCCGTCGGCCACCAGCCGGCGACGGAGACGGTGACGATGACCCGGCGACGACCCCACATGCGCCTCGTCTTCCTCCGCCGCCACCGCTGCCGCTGCCACGGTCTCCTGGCGGATCTGGCCGCGGGGGGGGGGGCAGATCCGCCCACGATGGCATCGGATCTGCCCCCTCCGGCCGGCGGCGGCGGTGAGTAAGAGAGGCGGCGGCGAGGGGGAGAGAGAGAGAGCGGCGCGGCGGCAAGAGGGAGGCGCGCGGCGCGGCGGCGAGAGGGAGAGAGAGGGAGAGGCGCGCGGTGGCAAAGAAAAAGAGAAGAGGGCATGGTGGCGAAGAAAAAGAGAAGAGGGGTAGGAAAGTAAAAATATGAGTGGGGACTTTGTGGACTAGGACACCCATTGTTTACAGAGTATCTCTGCCAGGTTGCTTCAGATCTTGAGGAGTCCATCCAGGGATACCCTACACTGCGAGCTGAGTTTCTCTATGCTGTCCTCAGTTAGTGAGGACACTCTAGGAGTGTCTCACATTGTGGATGTCCTCAGTGTGCCTGTACAGCAAGGGGAAAAAGGATATGTTCGTCAGAGGTATGAAAGTAACTTGATATGCCATACGTTTGGTGAAATTCATGGGAAGGGTAAAGAACAGTTCAAGATTTTGCCTGCCTTTTTGCTGTGATTTATGAGTGCTACACACACAAAAAAAAATCATGTGAGTGCTACACAAAAAAAGAATTCAATTCATGGGAGGTAACGAACAGTTCAAGATTTTGCCTGTCTTTTTGCTGCGATTTATGAGTTGCTACACAAAAAAAAAATCATGTGAGTGCTACACAAAAAGAATTCAATTAGTGCTAAAAATTTTTTGTCAAGAATGGGATTCGAACCCATGCCCTTTCGGACCAGTACCTGAAACTGGCGCCTTAGACCAACTCGGCCATCTTGACTTTGTACTCAGCTTCCCTAGTTACATAATGTAAAGTTATTAAAAAAATTTAGATGTTCAACAGCCAGAACTTCAGTACACTCTTCGTCAACTCTACACACTGAGCTGCACAAGGAAGATGGCCACCAGCAATAAGAGATATTAACACTCATATATATATAAGTGCTAATGTGCATATGAATGTGGCTAATGAGTTAATTACTCCCAAAACACCCAGTGCTGATCGTGTCATCTGAATGATCATCGATCTCCCCCTCGCAAAGAGACAATATAATCATCTTCCTAATTAACAATGTAGACAGTGTACACATGACATGTTTTCTTTAAGACTCGTCAACGATAAGCATATTCTAGTTAGCTACTAATAATACTCCTAAACATGGATGTAATGTGCTGCAAATTGCAATTGACCTGGCCTTAAATATCTCTGAAGTCCCCTCGAAACTACGTGCAAAATAATCAAACCTTATACTATATCTTAACCCAATTGCCAATAATCAGTTGCTGTATTTTTTTTTCTCCTCATGGCTCATGTCGTTGCCCCTTGCCTGGTCAGAACATACGAACAGTCTCATCGATCTGTCAGGCTAAGCAGCCGTTTATCTTTTCTTTATTTGCCTTTTTTTTAATAATGGAATATAATATCCCGACATTTGCTCAAGAAGAGCTACAGCCAATTATTACAAAGTTTTTGTTGGAAATATGGTCATATATCGGCATATTTTAATCCAAAAAGTTAAGACAATAATCATGGCATGAACAGTGTAGGGTGATCTAGTGACAACATGTAACATAACTAGTAGCATGCTAAAGGCATCATAAGCATCATGAATATCAGGAACAGGAACATAACAAGAACGCAAATGACTTGCGACTAACAGGATTAACAGCGCTATGAACAGCGTTAACAACAGTAGCAGGAGAAGGATATACCCCGAGAATGGCCCTCCGCTGGATTGTGAGGCAGAATTGCCTCTGTTGGTGTTGACGTTCACGGCACCGGCTCCAGCTCCAGGCGCGCCATCTCCGGCTCCAGCTCCAGGCGCGCCATCTCCGGCTCCAGCTCCAGGCGCGCCATCTCCTCCAGCAGCAGCGGCGCCGGTGGCAGCTCTGGCTCCAGGCACAAACATGGTGGATGAGGACGAAAAACCTGATCACCCGCCTACCCGGTGCAGATCTCATCGGCTCCAGCTCCAGGCACGCCATCTCCTCCAGCAGCAGCGGCGCCGGCGGCAGCTCCGACTCCAGGCGCAGACATGGTGGACGAGGACGAAAAACCTGATCACCCGCCTACCCGCCTACCCGGTGCAGATCTCAGGCGAAGGTGTGGTTCCGGAGGCCCTGCTCCTTCCGATCTCTCGTGCGCGCAAGCGATCAGAAGCAACTAACACCCGGGAAAGAAGCAAGCGCATCGTTTTGATCGTTCTGATCGGACTCGTGGACGCGCCGTTGCAGAGGCAGCCTCCTTATCTATCAGGAGAGAGGCAGTCGTGGGAATCAAGCGCATCGTTCTGATCGGACTGATCGGACTCGTGGACGCGCCGTTGCGGAGGCAGTCGTTCTGATCGGACTCGCGGCCTCCTTATCTATCAGGAGAGAGGCAGTCGTGGGAACGTGGGATCGTGGACGCGCCGTTGCGGAGGCAGTCGTGGGAACGTGGGTTCGTGGTTGCAAAAAAAGAATAGCGACGTGACGCACGCCTCGCCCACGCCCTCGGCCCGGCGCGCGCGCGCGTGTGGCTTTCCGACCCCCACCTCAACCAGTCAACAGGGAGCCTCCAATAACTCCCTATTTAGGTTGAGATATTCCTCGCTTAAATTGTGGGGTGGTATTATTATCCTTAACACTTATTATGGGCCTTTGAGATTTAATAGGATAAATTGGGCCTAGCCCAATTATTCTAACAGTTTCACTCCAGAAAAGAGTGTAGTTCAATACAAGTAGAACACACCAAACAGGAAAAGAGATGATCCAAACTAAGATAAGGAGAACACATTTATTCTAGCCTATTTGTGAATCTCCAACCATATTTAACAAAAAGTTGCATAACTGTGGTCTCCAACTTGCGACATGCAACTTTGAGAAACTCTCCATCTTCATCACACCTTTCTTTATTTGCCTCCCTAATTGGATCGATACAAAACCTCAAAAACTTAAACAACCTGTCTCTTTTGTCTTGAAAGACAATCTGTTTCTATCCTCCTCTTGCATTGTTGCATCATCAGCACCCAACTTTTGCAGATCCAAGGAATCGATCAACGGACGATCGGTATGAACACATGCCCAAATCCTACAAATTTTCCCCAATCTGAGAGCACATGACAGCGAGATCCTCTCAAGTCTCAAACGATTGGATCAGGATTAGTCCGGCCCGATAGATGGGTGGGAATGGGATAGTACTCTAGTATAATACGAAGCATACGTCTAATACATTGTTTTAATCTGAGTAGTATAAAATGTACATGTTGTTAATAATTCAGTTTGTTTACACAAAATTCGATCGATCTATTGGCATATTCTTGGACCTGATCATCATGCACGCACCTAGCTTAGCTTAGCTGTCGTTGTTAATTAATCATTTTTACGTTGCATTATAAGTAGCTGCTTGTTGCTAGCTAGTACGTGTACGCCAAGGCCAAGACGACGACGACTTGGGAATTCATTTGCATCGGCAACGACGATGAAGCTCGCCGTGGTCGCCGTCGCGGCGCTCCTCCTCGCCGCCGGCGTCGCCTCCGCCGATGAATTCGACTTCTTCTACCTCGTCCAGCAGGTTTGATGATCATGCACAGGGTTTGAAATTTCGGTTCGAAATTTCTGGCCCCCACCGAAATGATCGTATCTCGTCCGAAACTTTCCGTTTTTTTACAAATTTTTATGAATTTGGTCAAATTTTATTCAAATCCATTCAAAATAAGTTAATTTCAAAAAATATCATACGAAAATAGTTCGAAATTTCCAAAATTTCGGTTCTTTCGCTCCCCTCCAAAAGAAACCGTAGTTTCGAAATTTGAAACCCTGATCATGCATGCTTCGATCAATCGATTGATCATCAGCTCGTGATCATGGACATGTCGTCTGAATTTTCGTAATGGTTTTATGGATGATTGGATGTGTTTGCTTTTGCAGTGGCCTGGCTCGTTCTGCGACACGCAGGCTGGGTGCTGCTTCCCGGACACCGGCAAGCCGGCGGCGGAGTTCGGCATCCACGGCCTGTGGCCCAACTACGCCAAGTGCCGTCCCGCCGCCGGCGCCGTCGCCGACGACGACGACGGCGTGGTGGAGATGGTGGTCGACGGCGGCGCCGCCGTCGAGCGCCACCACCGGCGGCGGCAGAAGTGCTGGCCGGAGTACTGCGACGACGGCAACAAGCTGCGGCCGTGGGAGATCAAGGACCTCGTGGCGGAGCTCGATGCGAACTGGCCGACGCTGTCGTGCAAGGGCGGCAAGAGCTTCGAGTTCTGGAGCTACGAGTGGAAGAAGCACGGCACCTGCTCGGGCATGGGCCAGCACGGCTACTTCGCGGCGGCGCTGGAGCTCAAGAAGCGGCACGACCTCGCCGCCGTCCTCGCCGGCGCCGGCATCGTCCCCTCCGACGACGAGAGCTACTCCCTCGGCAGCATCCGCGACGCCATCGCCGCCGCCACGGGCGCGGTGCCCAACCTCGAGTGCAACCGCGACGCCGCCGGCGAGACGCAGCTGTTCCAGGTGTACCAGTGCGTCGACCGCTCCGGGAAGAAGCTCGTCGACTGCCAACTCCCGATGCAGGGCAAGTGCCGCGACAAGGTCAAGCTGCCCACGTTCTAGCTAGCTAGCTCCCCCGTCGCCATCGTCGCCGGCGAGAGCTCGCCGTCGCCGGCATGGCGGCGCGCCGGCGGCTGGCTGGTCTTGGATGTCTGATGGATGTCACGTGCGTTTGCGTTGTTGCGTGGTGCGGTTTTCAGATTACGAGAGATTCGAGGATTTGTCCAGTTGGATTGCTACATGTGTACGTTACATTTGGCACTATCTGCTGACTTGCTGAACAGTTGAATAATAACATATCAAGTTTTACCAGTTGAGATGAATTCGATTGAGACGAAACAATTTTAGCAGGACCTTTTATACATTCGAGATTGCTGAGCTGAACAGTTGAATGGACATTTAAAATTTCGACGTACCAAAATTTCGACAAAAATATTTTTAATTTTAGAAAATCCCCTGTTTACACCTGAAATTTTAGTTAATCCTTTATATACCCTTAAATTTTGCTTAGTTCCTTATATACCCTAAAATTTGATTTTGATCCCTTCCATGTCCTTTCCGTCAGTTAACCGTTAGCTGACCGTCTAATTTCTATAAAAATATCCATTTTACCCTTTGGATGAACATAAAAATTTATAAATTATATTATTGAAAATGTAAAAGTTTATCGCATTAGACTATTATAATTATGAGTTTATTGTGCGATACATTATTTATTACAATTTAATTTTAGATAAGAGTAAATTTCAGAAAACTACAACTTTGGTTACAAAACTAGTTTACTGCAACATTAGCGACATGTTTTAGTTTGCTGCAACAATAGCGTGGGAAATTATCACAAAACTGCAACTTTTAGGTTATATGCTGCTACAGTTGTCATCTATATGCACTGTAGTTGCAGTTTTGTGATAATTCCTCACGCTACTGTTGCAGCAAACTAAAACTTGTCACTAATATTGCAGCAAACTGATAGTTTTGTCACTAAAGTTGCAGTTTTTTGAAATTTACTCTTTAGATAATGAAATAAAAATATGTATTTATTTTATTTTTAAATTTTATATCAAAATTTTCTGCTCTAATTATTTAGTGTCATTAGTTTCATAAAATGTTGCACACTCACAAAAATTTCAATCTTTTTCAAGCTTATATTCAAATCTAAATTAATTAGTAAGGGTATATGTAACGCTCCGCTTTTCGTGAGACGTTAAAAACTAATTCAGCAAAATCCTAATTTCAAAAATTCCGTTCTTTGTGTGCGAGTCTAAGTTGTGCCAAGATCTCAATTCAATCTCCATCTTTGTTCCCCCTCGTCGCCATCAAAATCGCCCACCTCAAAATTCCAATTCCGATTCCCATTTGAGTTCCTTCCTTGACTCCACCTTGTGTCCCTAAGACCAAGCATCAAATTCTAAATCCAAATCCAAAACCTCAATTCGAATCCACTCCAAATCAGTCTTCTCTGTAAAAGTCTATTTTGCCTCCTCCGTGTTTTGGATGGGCCGGATCCACTCCCCAGCCCATCTCTCCCCTTTGCCATCTCCCTCACGTGCGCTGCACGAGCCGTCGCCGAGAGAACGATCTCCCTCTCTCTCGTTTTCTCTCTCTCGCGCCGACGCCGCTCTCCGCCGTCGCCGCACAAAACCTCCACCGCCTTCGCTCGTTCCCACGCGCTCGCGCGTGGCCGACCGCCCGGTTGCCGCCGCGTCAAGCCCTGGCGTCGCCTGCATCGTGCGCTGCCGCTCCACGCCGCTAGCTTCCAAAGCCGAGAGAGGCAGCCCCTCTCTCACTTCCTCTCCCTCCTTCAACTTTTCCCGAAACAGCAAGGAGCAGAGCTCCCTTTCTCCTCTTCCTTTTTCGTTTTGCCCGACCACCATCAGCGTCACCACCTGCCACCACCTTGACCACGCCCGACCGCCAGCTCCTCTCCTTGACCGCCCCAAGGTCGGTTCTCCCAAACCGACATCGCCACCTATAAAAACCCGAGCCCCTCCCATCTCCCTCACTCGTTTCTCTCGTCGCCACAATCGCACCTTGTCGCCCCTGCCCTGCAGTCGCCCTCACCGTCCGTCGCCGAAGCACCAGGGAGACCGGTGCGTGCGAAGGACGCGAAAAGAGAACTCTGGGCGCCGTTATCTTCCCCTTCCCCGGCGCGAGGCCGGAGAGCTCACTCCCGCGCCGTCGGCCGCTCGTCACAGCGCCCGTCCCGGCTCGGTAGTGCCTCCTCCCGTTCCCCTTCCTCGCTCTCCCTCGCCCCCTCTAGTCTGCGTGATAGCTCGGTGGCACTCCCGAACGCGTGTGGACGCCGCCCCGAGCCCCGCCGCCGCCCGGCATGGCCTCGCCGCCATTGCCGTCCGCTCCCGGAGACCGCCGCTCGTCGCCGGCCCTCCTTGGTACTCCTTTGTCCCATCCGGCGCCGGAAACGGATTCCTTGAACCCCGGATATGCTCCCACTCCTTTTAATCGAACCCCCGTTGCTCCGGTGAAGTTTCCCCCTTTTCTAGCTGTCGGCGTGCGCCGCCGCGATTCGTCGTCGCCGGCCTCCCTCCGGCGAATCTGATCCGGTGGCTCACTTCCTCTCGTCCGTCCCATCGTTCCGGTGTACTCCCTCTCTCTCGAATTGTCGTGACGAGCTCCGGTGAACTTGGCCGCCGTCTGCCGTCCATCTCGGCCTCCCCTTCTTCCTCCTCCCGCCGGCCCGCGTGGCTGCCACGTAGGCGCCACGTCGGCGCCACCTCGGCTTTGACCGGGCCAAGCCGGTCAGCCGCCCCCTCCCTCCGTCTTCCCTCCCATGCGCGCGGTCCACGGCAAGCCGTGCGGCTGCACGTGGGCCCGCCGCCATCCGTCCACCCGGCGCGCCGCGCCCAAACCACGCGCACCCGAAACCCTAGCGCCCGCCCCCGCGTGCGCCGCTTCCACCGTGCACCGCCTCACCAACAAGCGGGCCCGCTCGGGACCCCGCGAGGTGAGCCCGGTCCACCCGGCTCCCCTACCCCCTCTCTCTCCCCGCGCCCCTCTCTTGGGCCGCCTCCCCGTAGCCCGCGCCGGCCCAATAAGCTCGGCCGAGCCGCGCAAATCCTCTCGGGCCGCGCCAAGCTGCTCAGGAAAGTCTGATTCTTCTCCCTCCTTCCTTTTCTTATCCAAAGGGATTAATAAATCCTTTTCCCTTTTTCATAAATCAATTCCTTATTCCAAAAATTCCATGAATCATTTCTTTTGGTCCCGCACGTCAGTGACCATCAATAATATTCTTGAGAATATTATTCCATAAACCATTTCCCGTATTCTAGAAAATTCCGACAAATCATCTCCTTGTCCAGAAAAATTGATTTAAACTTCCAAAATTCATATCCCTCGATCCGTTCGTCCGATTGCCTCCGTTCCACTTCCAGTAATTCCATTAAATTGTGATCTATCTAATGGCACTATTAATTAGCCTAAATAGGATATTTTATTTGGTCTTTTTTAGGTTTTTGATTGTTTGCGCCTAGTTGCGGTTACCGGATATTTTTCTTCAAGCGGAATTCTCGAAGATTTGTGAAGCTTCGTGAAGACCCTGAGCAAGGCAAGCCACCTTTGAATATATTGAGCCTATATTTGAACTTAATTATATTGCTTACAAAATATTATACATTGATAGGATTGCACTTAATCTGTTTGCCCCGTCTGCAAGGCAGACCGGTGAGCCTACCTAACTTGTTGCATCTGATCCTTCCATTGTTAACTGTTATATCATGTTCCCTTGTAACCACCTAGTTGCGCCTCGATAATTCGTGCACTCTGTGCGAGTATCGACGGTCGCCTTCAAACTTAAAATTTGAGTAACTTCTTGGGTAAAACTTGGTTTACAAAAGCTTTGGAAAACCCGATGCCTGGGTCGGTGCCTTGTGAAAGAAAATGAGTTTTAAAAATGAAACTCGTGACACAAGGCCATTCCTGGGTGGAATACTTGTGCGGTCGCAATTAAGGACCGATTCCTTCGGAATTACATCCGAGCATACAACAGTGCGACCACATGGGTGTAATGGGACGCCCTTGGCTGAGTAATTAGCTAATCAGGGGAACCATGATGCCAAGAGACATGTGGATTCAACGGGGTGGTGTCGGGGAGAACCCTCGGGCTTCCTGGCACAGTATGGTCTGGGACCTAACCTGTTGTTGGTCTGGGACCCCTCTCGTTGGCATATGGCAACCCTGTGTCGGCTTTCGAAATGCCTTGTCGTGAAAGCCTCAAAGTCGCCAGACGTGGCTGTTCTGCATGGGCTGGGTGACCCAGGTTAGTAACATCATGTGGGTAAAGTGTACCCCCTCTGCAGAGGTTATTAAACTGTTCGAACAGCCGTGCCCACGGTCATGGGCGGATGTGAGGTGATTCCTTAGCGTAGTTTTTGTTTTACCCTGTTTTATGAAAATGTGTTAAGGTTTGGGAAACCTAATGCTTGGGAAGCATTTAGCTGTCCAGGGGACAGCGGGACTGGGTGTCTCTGGAAGTGATTGGTCGTTTGGGGACCACTGTTATCGGGAAGTTTGGAAAATTGGTTTGGTTTAGGAAAACTAGATTTGAAGCCAACTCTGGGAGTTGTGCAAATCTTGATAAATAAATTTGTTACTTCTCACCTCCCGACAGAGCTGAGACTTGTCTCGCTCAGGTTGTGGAAAGCACACACTTAGATTGTTGAAAACTTGAAAACAAAACTGTTTGCAAAATAACAGCCTTCCCTTGAAGCTTGCATTAACCACCTAAGTTCCCCTGGCTTGCTGAGTACGTAAGTACTCACCCTTGCTCTCTATATAAATATAGTTCTGCCAGCTCCGAAGATGAAGTTGAAGTGAAGTGAAGATTAGGGTTTCGTCTTAGTTCCCTGCCGTTGCCTGTGGCGTTGGGTGTTAGTCCGTTGGTTGGTTCCGCTGCTGCTGCTATTGTTGGTGTTTGCCTCGTCCGTGTCGCCGGTTGCATTCTCGGGCTGTCTGAGCTGCAACCTAAATTAAGGTAAATAAGTTCTCTATTAATTATAAGGATTTGCAATGATTCATGTTTGTCACCGTGGGTACCAGCGCTATGTCCTGGGACTGGTACTGAGATCGCGGTTTCGTAGGACGCGGTTCAAGCCGTTTTCCTACAACACCCTCCTGTCAGGTGCCGTTGTATGGCGATGCCAGATTGGGGTGTGACAGTATAACAAACATTTGCAACCAAACATAACAGTGAAAAGAAGGAAAATTTCAGGGGTATAGAAGAGATCGGGTAAATTTCAAGGTTATGAAAGAAATTGAATGAGTTTTCATGGGTACACAGGGAATTTACTCTATCAATTTTTATAATATT